GATACAATCCATATACTAATTAGACCTTGTTCACATTCATTATTGCTTCCAAAATATGCCGATACAGTATATTCCAATTCATTACTATCAATAAATAATATAAATTGTTTAAGTTCTATTAATTGTCTCATTGAACATAAATGTCTATCCGTACATGCAAATGAACAATTCCCTATAGATGAATTTGTCGAATCTAATTGAGTTATATTATGATGATATAAAATTGGTGCATCAATTTCTTCTTTCCATTGCGTTAGAATGTTTTCCTTAAAAGGCCACCAACACTACAAGATAAAAAAATGGTTTACAGTCCCTTCGCCAACTGTGATAATACAAGATTAGTGTAAAATACATGCGATAAATTAACCTAATATCATAGTCTAAATGCCTCAATTTAGTTACTAGTAGTGACGGCGCCAAGGGTGGGCTCAGCCTACCCTAAAATGTTTTTCAGACCTTAAAAAATCAATGATATTCTATCCGAGCCCACCCTGTTTGAAATTTATTAGGCCTGAGCCCACCCTAGTCAAGAATCCTGGCGCCGCCGCTAGTTACCAGGAGCTATTTTTATACATATGCGATCACATAATAACACTGGCGAATTCCCTATAAGTATGTTGGCGTAAGTGCACTGAGCTTTCGTCAATTGGCGAAATTTGGGAATCCCGATAAAATGATGTATGATACTTACATATTTTTCTGCATTTCCATTTTTCAATAGATTATCATGATTAATCAACCAAGTACCATTTGGTAGAATAACATTATAAAGTTGTGAATCTTGAAAATAACTCATATTAATTCTTGCACCAGAAAGATTTACATGAGTGAAATTTACTTCAGTAAAATTTGTATTGTAAAAAATTGAATTAATAAGTAAAATTTTTGAAGTAAATTGTACATTACCTAAATGTGTATTACTTAAATCTGTATATGATAGATTTGAATATTGAAACGTAGTATTTGCTAACGACATATTATTAAAATATGAATAATCTAACGATACATGATCAAATTCATTTTGTTTATTAGTTTCAAATTCGGAATTTGTAAACGTAATTCCATTCATAATTGATTTTTTAAAATTTGTTTCACCAGAAAATTTACAATTAATAAATGATCCATTAGTAAAATTAATCGATGCAAATGATAATTGTTCAAAATTTGATCGAATAAATTTTGCATATCTTAAATCTGAATCTTCAATAATAATTTTCTTTTTAAAAATACAATCTGTAAACGATGCATTTATAAGTTTAACTTTATATGCATCTAAATTATCTTCGAAAACTGCACCAATAAATTGTACATTAGTAAGAATTGAACCACTAAAATTTGTTCCACCACGAAATCTACAATCACTAAATACGGCATTCATTAAATTGAGAGATTGTAAAGTTAAGGAATTAAATTCATATGAACCAGTTAATGGACTTTTGATTGTTATATTTCTTAAATCAGCTCCCATTAATGATATTGTTGTTAATGGAGATGATTGATCAGGTAATAAATTATTTTCATAAAGAAATACAAATAATTGACTTCGTCGTTCACTATCAATTGTTCTTAGAGTTATAAGAGTCTTTCGACGTATATAAAGCATTTTTTTTTCTTCATTAGTAAATGTTGTTTGATTATGCGGTTCTTTGTAAAGAATTGTAGAAATATCATCAATATATTTAGAATAGAGTGTTTCATAATGTAAATCCTGTTGTTGTATACGATCTTCTTTTCGATTATCTTCTGCAATTTGACGATCTTGCATTTTAGTTTCATTAGCAATATTTAAATTAGCCATTGCTATTTCCCAATCTTTAATTTGTGTTAAATTAGCAATTTCAAGATCATGATAACGTGTTATATTTGCAATCATATGATCTTGTATACGTGTTAAATTCGCTATTGATATATCTTTTTCACGTGTAGCATTCGCTAATTCTTCATCTTGTTGACGATTATGTTCATTAATTTGCATTTGTTGAACATAAGAAACAATAGTAAATATTGCAATCATCAACGGAACAGAAGCAGATAAACTTAGTTTAACCCATATTAACCATGATTTTGTAAATTTTTGATTAGATTTATTTTTAAGTATAGTTTGTGTGTGACGATGAAGATTAAGTCGAAAACGTCGATATGGAGGCATAATTTTTATTGATAATAACTATGATTAGCAATAAATTTGTACTTAGATATTTGAATAAAGTATCTTACTTCTTAGTTTTTGTTGAGTATATATTTATATTGAAAGACTGACGTTGTCAATTCTTTTTATTTGCCAATGTTTTCATACAATACGTATGTTATAGTCGTTTAAATTAAATATTTACTTAATAGATTGAAAAGAAACTGCTGTTTTTATTCAAAAGTAAAATTTTAAATTGTCATTTTTAAAAGAAAGATTCGAAAAGTAAATTTAATCTTTATAATCTACTTAAAGTAATACTATGAAATAAATGAAAAGATAAAACAATTGCTTATATAAATGATTCATTCAAAAAACAAGTACGCGATTACTGTTCTTGCCTCTCTACTTATGAAAACTGATCCAACGAAACTTTTTATCAATTATCATATATGAAATTCTGATGCTAAATGCATCCGATAGATAATCTCGTAGACGAATAATTTTTCGACTTACTGTATATATAGTAATAATCGGATTTATACTAAATAATAACAATTAAAATTTTTTATCCTAATTTTCGAAGCAAACATTATCTAAAGTAATTTTACTTTGATGTTATATCATTTATTATAATCTTAAAGTTAATAGAATTATTTTGGCTTTAGTAAAATTTTGATTGTACATTCATTCTATACCCATATCTATTTTTTCGGTTGTGTATAGTTGCATTCGTATATGGTAAAATATGTTGAATACAAGTAGTCTTATCTATCATAAACAAATACAATTCTTTGTCTCTTCTGATTTTTATCTTGGTTTATTTTTTCACCTTCTCGTTGAAAGATTACACTCTCGGCTATTGTCACTCATATTGTTTAGTTTGTTTGCCTGTATTTTAATAATATAAAAATTCTGTTATAGTAAAAAAGAATATTTTGATTTTGTTTAGTATTGTATTCATGTCGTCGTTTCCTTCTCACGTATTGGGTAAACTTGCCGGTCAAGTAAGAAGAAGAAAAAAATGTATGTTCATCTTATCTTAAACATTTTTATATTTTAGACTCCACTCGTCGAACAATCAACGAATAATAAAAATTCTGTCGATTCATTTGTTAGTATCAATAGAACGAATTGCATATGTTAATTTAATGATAGTGTACTAGACGCGTTTTTTTCTAGAGCATGATTTGATGATTGTTTCATATTTTTGACTCTTTTTTATCAATAGAATGACGAAAAAACATTGGCACAAGGCATTGTAGGTCACGGTGCATCAATAGTGCAATCAACAAATCAATCATCATCAACAAGTCAAACTTCATCAGCTAGTTCAACAAATCAAAAACCAAAAGGTAATATTTGTCCACGATGTTCAAAACCTGTTTATTTTGCTGAAGAAGTTAAAGCTATTGGACAAGTAAAATCAATATTGTCTTCTATACATTTTAATTTATTAATTGTTTATTTAGTCATTTCATAAATTATGTTACAGATGTGCTAATTGTAAAAAAAGTATTAATGGTGCTAATTTTTCAGAACATGATGGCAATCTTTATGATAATAGTTAGATTTTAAATAATTGATATTTTCTAGAATATACTTATTTTTTCTGTATTGTTTAAGATTGTTATCAACGTTTATTCGGTCCAAAAGGTGTAGGTTTTGGTGTGGGTGCGGGTACTTTATCAACAGACTACTGATTCATTGAATGAATACATCTTGACACTAATCGATTAATATCTGTAATTGTTCGCTCAATGACATTTTTCTTTTACAATTTAAACAAAAAGAGAGAATAATATGATCAAGATAAAATTCAATGTTTTGTGAATGCTTAAAGATTTATTAAAACATCACATTAAGCTGTTAGTTCATAAATCAAAATGGGTATAGATTTGGAATAGTCTATGAAGACATCGAATTTTATTGAGCATAGAATAAAAAACAAAAAAAATGACATTGATGTCTCCAATGAACCTGATCATTGTTCAAAGTAGTTCAAATAATTATCACGATTATATCAAGATTTAATTCTCATATTCGCCAGTATAATATTGACTATAGTATACTTAAGTTATTATGAGCTGTATTTAAAGAAGACAAGACTTTTACGACCATCATTATCTAAATGATTGCTTCTATTTACATTGTGTAATTTAGATCTATAAATAATTGTTCTATCGTTAGTTAATTTTAATCATATGTTTGCTATATTTTGAATATTCACGACGAAAAAATGTCGTTAAATTGATATGAAACACATCTCTCCGATCTTTAGACGTCTAAAATAATCGATATGCATATTAAAACAAATTATTTTTAAGATGGGTGTGGGTGTTCGAGTAAGGTTAATATAATACCTACACCCACCCACACTCAATAATAAACCTTACGTATTACCTTATATAATTATAATATAGTGAAAAAAAGGAAAATCTTAATCAACATAGAAAAATTTTTTTTTATTAATTTAAAGGACAGGGTACAGGTTGCCAAAATATCTTGCATTGCAAGTCTCTATTCGCATTGTACAATGTTATATAAGCGTAATGTTTTTAGTAGAGTAGTAAAGTGTTAACAAGTAAATAAAAGTTAACCATCAATAAACGTTAAGAATTCAAGAGAATACCGACGTTGTTCGAACCAGAGTTTGCATAAGTAATATCAAGTTTATTATCGCTATTCATATCGACGACTTCTACTGATATTGGGTTAGTGCCAACTGAGTAAGTTGTTTGAGCATTAAAGGTACCATTGCCTGCGTTGAGAAGAACACCGATGTTGTTCGAACCAAAGTTTGCAACCATAATATCAGGTTTATTATCGTTATTCACGTCAGCCACTGCTACTGATACTGGGTTAATACCAACTGAGTAAGTAGTTTGAGCATTAAATATGCCATTGCCTGTGTTGAAAAGAACACCGACAGTATTCGAATCATAGTTTGCAACAATAATATCAGATTTATTGTCGTTATTCACATCGACGACTGCTACTGATACTGGACCAGAGGTAACCGAGTAAATAGTTTGAGCATTAAAGGTACCATTGCCTGTGTTAAGAAGAATACCGACACTATTTGAGCCAAAGTTTGCAACGATAATATCAGGTTTATTGTCATTATTCACGTCGACGACTGATACTGACCAAGGACCTGTGCCAACTGGGTAAGTAGTTTGAGCATGAAAGGTGCCATTGCCTGCGTTGAGAAGAACGCTGACGGTATTGGAAACATAGTTTGCAACCATAATATCGGGTTTACCGTCGCTATTGACGTCGACGACTGCTGTTGACCATGGATCTGTGTCAACTGAGTAAGTAGTTTGAGCATGAAAGGTGCCATTGCCTATGTTGAGAAGAACATCAACGCTGTTCGAACCAGAGTTTGCAACAATAATATCAGGTTTACTGTCGCTATTGACGTCAACGACTGCTACTGATGCTGGGTTAGTGCCAACTGAGTAAGCAGTTTGATTACTAAATGTGCCATTGCCTGTGTTCAGAAGAACACCGACATTGTTCGAATTATAGTTAGCAACAATAATATCAGATTTGTTATCGTTATTCACATCGATGATTGATACTGACCATGACTTTGCGCCAGCTGCGTAAGTAGTTTGATTAAGAAATAAACTGAAGGCTATGAAAAAAAAAATTATTTTTAGTATTTTAAATGGTTTAGAGACAAAAAGTCATCTTCGAATTCTGTAGGATTTACATAGTCTTACCTCAGTTAGCATTAAAGCGCTGGACAGAATCGCGTAGTGGTTTTTTGAATAATTTTTGATATTATTCAAGTCTAACTGAAATAATCTCTTGCTCCATTCTATGTAGTGTATCATACAATCTTCTAATCAACTTAAAAAAATGGCTATACAGAATTGAAAGTCTGTTTGTTTCATTTTACATTCTTTGTCTACTGTGATGACTCTTCATAATGTTATTTCTCAAAAATTTAACTTGACTCTGTTTTAAACTTAATCTAATACCAAAACGAAAGAAACCAATAGCGAGTTGATCAAAATATATTTTCGATATGGAGTAGTTAAAATATTCTCTATTCATTAACTTAAGCTATGATTTTTTCATTTAGAGAAGTTTCCTACCCAATAAACTCATCTTATTTATTCGGGTTTGAGATGATTCGAAGTACTAAACACCATATTTTTAAATCTCGTGAAACTATTTCTCTTTTTAACATCTGATGTAAGCATTAAGTATTTATTCCCACACTCACCACTTGTTGTTGATGTTGAAATAGCAGTTGTTGTCGGTGTTGATGATGACGTACTTGGTTCTGTTTAAAAAATATGGTTAAAATGAGACAAGAACATTGAATAAGGCTTTGAGAAGAGTCTAGCACTTCTCGGTCTACTAATCTAGTTCATTTTTTGTGGATAACCCCATTCTGACAACAGATACTAACGATTAGCGAACCCCTCAAATTAAAATCAGTGGAAAATATCATTCATATCAGCAAGTTTTTTTAGAATTAAAAAAGCATAAATCTCAAATTCATTCAAATTATTGGAATTTTAGTCTATAAGAAGCTATGATATTTTCGCAGTATTACTAAATGAAAACCTGATAGTCATATCTGAAATAAACTTACGATATTCTCGAATATTTAATATTGATATTGACGATTGATTGAGAAATACAAAAGTAGAATTGGAATAAAATTCAATATAAACTGTACTAATATTTGAACGAAATAGTTGACAAGTTTGATTTGTAGAAAAATAATTTAAAGCAGATATTGTATCATTTACTTTTATCATTTCACATATGCATTGATCTTGTGTCACATCGAATAAACTATTATACATATCACCAACTATTATATAATCCTGTACTTTAGCAATAAGAATAGAGTTACAAATAGAAAATAATGATAAGTAAAATATTAGGCAAAACATGTTGTACTTCTTTACTTTCTAAAATATTTTATGAATGTTTGACGACCCGTTATCACTATTCTTTTTCTTTTCTTTTTCTACAACACTCTTTCTCTTTAGTTTAATAATTATTCATTCCAGAGAAAAAAGCGCCATACGTTTTCTAACAGTTTTCTTTGTTCAACAAAAAATGATACATCTATAACTACACTATGTTGTTGTTATTTATTTAACTATTTAGTGGATTAAATTCGTCACCATCAAGATATTAACAAAAGAAAAAAGTATGAACAGACATATTCGCCTTGAAAGTATTCTCTTTTTAATTAAATTGTCCTTTTAAAGAATTTTTTAAATGCCACGAAATACAGAAAAAAAACGGTGGTGATAACAGAGATAAACACATATTCTATTGTTTTTTATTGATTATGTCGAATATTACTTTATTTATAATATTTTTTCCCCGTAAATCAATATAGCCTCATTATCTTCTCTAATGAAATATACTGAAATAGAAAACTAAGGCTAGTTTCTAATTGAGAGCATATAACACTGTTTTCTGTAAAGAAATACAATTTTTCGATTATTAATACGTTTCTTTGAGTTATAATCTATAAGTTTACTCAAAAAAACCATACGCGGTGATACATTTTTTAAGTAGAGAAACATCAGTTAAAACAGTGCACATCGTTTAAAAACAGTTTTTTTTATAAAAGAACTTTATATTTTTCATGAACATCACTCATAACATATACTTAACTACGTTGTTTTAATGGCAGGTGTTTAAGCGCTAAGTAATTTTAAATGAAAACTAAGTAGAAAATTTTATTTTTGCTAAGTGATTTATTGAACACAAGTCTAAGTAGGAAATGTTTTTTACTAAGTAATTTATAGAAATTCTAAATGAAACATTTATTCTCTTTCTCGTAGAGAAAAGCCTTGTAAAAATAAATTGTTTGCTTGTGAGTCCGCAGAGTAAAAAGAACGTCGAAAACCGATTTTCAGCAAAAGACATTTCTTGAGGTATTTCGATGCGGACAATTCAAATGTGCGCCTTATTTTCTCAAACTATTGAAGCAGGATGCGGATTGAGAGAAGTGTCGTGGACTGGTAAAAATCGAGTTTTCGGATAATGCATTTTTTTGGGTATCCAAATGTTTTCCTGCTTGTAGTGCAGAGTGTGTCGATCATAAACTGTTGGCTTTCTTGTATATAAGATTACTAACACTACACTTATTCGTTAAAGGCTAGTTCGAGAAGCCACTGGTGCTGACAGCTCGAATATGTTTTGATCTGCGTTTACCACTGAGTAGACTGCGAGTATGTGCTAAGAGTAATAAAAAACGAAGGAGAGCATGATTTTCAATTGTTATTCCAGTAAATGTGAAGAGGATGTATTTCTATGAGAAAGAGCTAAGCAAGTCCTCGGATGAGCGTTACTAGTATATAAATTGTCAATAGAAATATTTAGTTTTCTAGGCAAAAGATTTAAAAATGCTAAGTAAAAAATTTGATTGAACAATTAATTGATCAGCAATGCTTTGGTTGCTTTTCTGTGTGAGTGTGGTGCGAATACAATAATCACACCCACCCATCCTTAAAAATTGCCGTTCTATATATATATATAAAACTTGTGTCAGATGACTAACTTCACATTGTCGATAGGGTAAGACTGAATATCAGTATACTTGGGTCACACATTAATTATTTATAAAAATCACGGACTATATATAGGAAAGTGAATCGTACATTCTTGGGAAATGATCGAGGTAGAGCGGCTGGAATAAATCTTAACAAACATAGTATACATATGAAAAGATGATAAATAGAAAAGGGAGGGAAAAACCTGACATATGTGATGAACAGGAACGAAAAAATCCAAGTATATGTGGTGTCTTAAAAGAAACGCACACTAGAGAACGAACAGAAAATAACGACTTGCCCGTTATTTGTTTTTTCTTATCAAATTCATAGTGTTTTACTTACTAAGATGCGTTTTTTATCGATAAATTCAATAAATTTATCTAACAATTAGACATTTAACATATATAATAATTAATAAACTTAAAAAAAATTTAATTATGGAGAAGTATTATTTTAAATGAGCATTCAATAAATTTATTGAACATTGAACTTACTTGGCAGAAATCAACTTAGCAATTATATATTCTTACTTAGAGCTTAAATAAGTGCCAATTAGAAAAAACCTTTTTTTATTAACTCGATTTATCATAATTTATATTTTTGGTGATAGACAACTAGTGGACTAAAATATATTAGCTGCTTTCGAATAAATAGTTGAATTTATCTTCAATATTTCATATGATTTTTCATTGAGCCATATCTAGAAAGATGTGAGAGCGACTTCCTTCTTTACTATCATTCTCATCACACCACTCATATCTTCATTAACTATATTTTGTACCAAAGAACTAGTAGTAGTTTATTTATTTTCAAACGAAGAATTCTATTGTTTGCTCAAAACGAATGATCTTGTTCTGAACAGATGAGAGAAAAATAATGAAACTTTTATATATTGTTCTATACGTCCAAAACTAATGTTTTGGACTTCAAGTAATCTAATACATATGGTTTTATGCATTCAGAAAAGTTCCATAACTAGAAATGTTATTATTAAATAATCAATCACTATCCGATGTATGGATACTAATTTATTTGTCATTAATATCCATAATCGCCAAGTTTTATTGAGGTTATTAATATCGAGAGGAACCTAAATAGCAGTTCGTGTTATATAATGTCTTATAAGTATAATGTTTTTAGTAAAGTAGTAGAATGCTATAATAAGTAAATAAAGGTCAATCATTGATAGGCCTTAACAATGTAAGAGGACACCCACGTTGTTCGAACCAGAGTTTGCAACAATAATGTCAGGTTTATTGTCGTTATTCACATCGACGACTGCTACTGATCTTGGACCTACGCCAACTGAATAAGTTGTTTGAGCATTAAAGGTACCATTACCTGTGTTGAGAAGAACGCCGACGGTATTCGAACCATAGTTCGCAACGATAATATCAGGTTTATTGTCGTTATTCACGTCAACGACTGATACTGACCATGGACCTGTGCCAACTGGGTAAGTAGTTTGGACATTAAAGGTACCATTGCCTGTGTTGAGAAGAACACCGACATTGTTCGAATTATAGTTTGCAACAATAATATCAGGTTTATTATCGTTATTCACATCAACGACTGCTACTGATATTGGGTTCGTGCCAACTGAGTAAGTTGTTTGAGCATTAAAAGTGCCGTTGCTTGCGTTGAGAAGAACACTGACGGTGTTCGAATCAAAGTTTGCAACAATCATATCAGGCTTATTGTCGCTATCGACGTCAACGACTGCTACATAGCATGGGCCAGAGCTAATTGAATAAGTAGTTTGAGCATGAAAGGTGCCATTGCCTGTGTTAAGAAGAACACTGACGTTGTTCCAATCATAGTTTGCAACAATAATATCAGATTTGTTATCGTTATTCACGTCGCTGACTGCTACTGACCATGGCTTTCCACCAGTTGAGTAAGTAGTTCGATTAAGAAACAAGTTGCAGGCTATAAGAAAAATTAGTATTGGTATTTTAAATGATTTAGAGACGAAAGGTCATCTTTAAATTCTTCACGATTTGCATAAAGTTGCTTCGGTTAGCACTAACGCGATGAACAAAATCGCATAGTCTTTTTCTGAATGGTTTTTGATACTCTCAAGTCTAAGTAAAATAATCTTTTAGTTCATTCTGTGCGCTGTCTAATACAATCTCCTAATCGGCATAAAAAAAATGGCTATATAGAATTGAAATTCGGTTTGTTTCATTTTACACTCTTTGTCTACTGTGATGACTCTTTATAATGTTCTTTCTCAGAAAATTAACTTGATTCTATTCTAAACTTAATCTAATACTAACACGAAAGAAAGTTATTCTTCGTCAAATTCACTACAGTTTTAGTATTTACCAATAGTGAGATGATCATAATATATTTTCAATATGGAGCAGTTAAAATATCTTCTATTGATTAACTCAAGCTATGTTTTTTTCATCTTAAGAAGTTTCTTCTTCAATGAACTCGTCTTATTTATTCGGGTTTGAGATAATGCGAAGTACTAGCCACTATATTTTTAAATCTTTGGAAACTATTTCTCTTTTCAACATCTGATGTAAGCATTAAATATTTATTCCCACACTCACCACTTGTTGTCGTTGATGTTGTTGTTGAGGTTGTTGTTGAAGTTGAAGTTGTTTTTGATGTTGGTGACGATGATGTTGTTGTCGAAGTTACTGATGTTGATGACGTTGTTGATGATGTCGTTGTTGAAGTTGATGATGCTGAGGTTGATGATATTGTTGTCGGTGTTGATGATGACGTACTTGATTCTGTTTTGAAAAGTGAAGTTAACATGAGACAAGAACATTGAATAAGGCTTTGTGAAGAATCTAGCACTTCTCAGTCCACTAATCTAGTTCATTTTTTGTGGATGACCCCATTCAGACAACAGATACTAACGATTAGCGAACCCCTCAAATTACAATCAGTGGAAAATATCATTCATATCAGCAACTTTTTTTAGAATTAAAAAATCATAAATGTCAAATTTATTCAAATTATTGGAATTTTAGTCTATATAAGGAGCTACGACATTTTTGTCGTATTGCTAAATGAAAACTTGGAAGTTATATCTGAAATAAACTTACGATATTCTCGAATATTTAATATTGATATTGACGATTGATTGAGAAATACAAAAGTAGAATTGGAATAAAATTCAATATAAATTGTACTAATATTTGAACGAAATAGTTGACAAGTTTGATTTATGGAAAAATAGTTTAAAGCAGATATTGTATCATTTACTTTTATCATTTCACATATGCATTGATTTTGTGTCACATCGGATAACTTATTATACATATCACCAACTATTATATGATTCTGTACTTTAGCAATAAGAATAGAATTGCAAATAGAAAATAAGGATAAAATAAATATTTGACAAAACATGTTGAACTTCTTTACTTTCTAAAAAAATCTAAAAATGTTTGACTAACTTTTTTTGACTATTCTTTTTCTTTTTTTTCTACAGCATTCTTTCTCTTTAGTTTAATAATTATTCATTCCAGAAAAAAAGAACGTCATACGTTTTGCAACAGTTTTTATTGTTCTTGTTTATTTAACTATTTAGGAGAATGAATTCGGCACCGTCGGAATATTAACACAGGAAAAAGATGTGAACAGTTCTGTTCTTAATTAAATTGTCTTTTTAAAGTGCTTACCGGATATTAAAAAAGGAAAAAAAAGATGACGATATTAACTAATGACTTCATTTATACGCTCAATAAACACATGTGTCCGATGAGAAAAAAATGCTTCCGCTTATTTCATATGTAGTCAACGTAGGCATTGACAACAACAGGGGTAAACATTTGAACATTACTCATAACACATACTTAACTACATTGTTTTAATCATCTTTTCTTGTATATGAACATGGTACTTGGTATAAGTACATATAATATATAGCAACGTGTCATTTAAAAAAGAACGATAAGTGATATACTTTTTTCCGATTAAATTTTTCTTAAAGCTAATATTAAAGCTATAATTTTATATTTTTATTTTACATTCAACATATTTAATGTATCAACAAATTTATTTTTATTTATAAAAAAAAATACATGAATACATATTATTTAAACGGAGAAACAAAAATCACATGTTATATTACTTGTCAAATGACATCATTTTATACATTGGTGCGTGACGAAAAATAATAACCAAATACGAGAATATAACTTTTTTACCTTATGACAGTTTACTTGTTACATAGAGAAATTATTGTACATATGTATGATGATATATGCAAAAAAAAAGATTTTTTTAAGATATTAGAAAATGTCAATAAGTGTAATATTGAATTCTTGAGAAATTAAGATTTATGTTTGAAGACATCATGCCTTCTAAAGTATATTATCCTGATATATTTTGACGAGTATACGAGACATTATTTCGAAAAAAAAAGTTTATGAGAACTATTTTACGCTTTTAAAGAACTTATGTGACATTTTTTTTGGAATCACAATAAGATTACCTACAATGAAACTAAAATCTCATTGTATATAGTCAAACAAAATAAAATTAAAAGTATCATTATATACATATACATATTATGAAACAATGAATGACCGTTACGGTTGATATCCGTTCTATTCTCTTTCTCGAGATGATTTATACATATGTTGTAATCTAAATAAACTGTATGAAATATGTTGAATCACTTGATCAATGGATGTGATGAAACAGAAATGAATCGTATTTTGTGTATTTAATAATTAATTTTCCTATTTCTTTCTTGGATATGAAATATAGAACATTAGTTTTATTATTTTTCATACTAATCTTTGTAAATTCATTCATCATAATACTCCTATTATGTCTTCAAGATTATTTTTACAATAGGTATCTTAACGATCGAGTGGACTGATTTTTTTTCATACGAATAATGAAAGTAAATATTACTATTTACTAAGAAAGAAATTTAAACTGTTGCTACGTAAAAAAAAATTCATTGTGTAGATAATTTTCAATTGTTACCTGAGAGAATGAGAAGAAGAAATAAAAGCAAACCTTATGTATGATATTATACTGATGTGAATAGAGAAAAATTTCGAAACTAGTTAATCTGAAATTCGTGTCGATAACTAAAAAGCTCAATTAAAATTATTGTAACTGTAGACTTTAAATAAAATAATTCTGAATAATTTTTTCTACGTACATCAGTATAATATCAGACATAAAGTTTGTTTTCATTTCGTCTTCTCATTCTCTCAGGTAACAATTGAAAATTATCTATATAATGGATTTGTCTTGTTTAACAACAGTTCAAAATCCTTTCATCAAGTTAACTTACATTATCAGTATAAAAAAAATCGGTTCATTTGATTAAATCATAGTGGAGATAATAAAACTTTTTATTACACTGTTATTTATGATCTGTTCTCTATAGCAATTCGTAAACTGTAATATACAATTTGTTGAAATAGATAAAAAGCAAAATAGAATTTATGTTAGTAATGAGAAGAATATATCGAGATATTTTAATAATATAAATATCATAAACGTAATATTAAGAAACTATCAGCTATTGTTTAATTTGATTTATTCGAAAGAGTTCTGTTGCATATCTGTACTTCTAGTTAATAACGCGATGTGAAATTTAATTCGAAGTAAAAACTAAAACTAATGGCATTGAAAGAATGATAATATTCTCTTGTGTATTAATTCAACACAAAAAAGATTTCAAATATAAATTTTAAGATTTTATTATTTAGAATGTATTGAATTTTTTAAAGCACGTCGAATACCGTCAATTTCATTAAGAATAATATCACATTGAGGTCGATTAACTAATACTTTTGGAATACTACCACCTGGATCTGCATATTGTAAATATGTATAAAGAAAACCAGGTGCATCTTTACTTGTTTCAATAAGATGTGCACCTTTATACGTTGCTCGTACAAATTTACCACTTGAATCAATTGCTTCGGGTATGTCGACTGATCGATAACTAAGAATAAATCCATTGTCAAGATTACGTCGTACTTTAATGTAACACATATCACGACCAGAAGTTAGTATTGATGGTGATGCATATCTTCAAGAAGAAAAAAAAGTACAAAATAAAATTTTTTAAATAAAATCCTACTGAAAATAACAAATTTCACTACGACCATCATCATTCTTACGAACAATTCTACCATCCAAATAAAGTGCATGCCATTCAGAATGACGTTGTTGCAAACTAGCATCAAGTAAATCATCAATATTTGCTAATGAACCATCATCTATGTATGCTACTAATTTAATCCACCAAATAGGATCATCTGGAGTTTTATAAACATAACATATATCATCATTATGATGTGCACCATGTTTATATTCTTCCCATACATTTGTATTTTTAATTAATGCTAAATCATCATCTATATAACCATCGAGTGTTGTTGCATCATATTCATCAGCCATGTGATTTGCTTATTATTACTTTGCGTTCTTCACGTATGCACACTTCACTTCTTCGTTCGTACTATCGAATGTATATGTATATACAGTTTGATTGATGTTTTTTTCTATCGTACGTTCGCAAGTGCACTTAATGATCGAATGCAATACATATTTTGTTTATCATATATATGTATACGAAAATTTATAATAGAAAATATTTCGTTTTTTTTTTATTTTATATTATTTTTGATATAATAATTAATAAAAGAAAAAGATTTTTGAATTAATTGTATTTATTTTTATCATTGTAATTGATATTGCTCGTAGACAACGAAAAATGAATAAAAGAATATATCTTTGTAGGCTAGAAATAAATTCTTATTTATTTGAAAATGACCCTGGACATACTATTATCTTTTCTTTTACTTAAAAGATATCGTCCTTTACTTTTATCTTAGAGAATATAAAGAATAGAATAATGATCAAACACATATATACTTTTATCATTCCTCTTGCTTAAAAAAACGCCTGTAAAGTATGTTTGACTATAAAATAATCATTTCTCTTTTTAAAAACAATGAGAATTGTATAGTGCATATTATTGACATAATACAAAATGATTATATATTAAATATTGTATTAATCGATTCATTAAAGAAAACGAAGAGTTAGAGAAAAAAGATATATAATAATTTAATAAAAATAGTATCGTTAGTAGATTTTAAAAAAATACAATTCCTAAATAAACATAGAATCATATTGAAATATACTTAAATATAAAAATCTTGATTGTTATATAATATCTTATAAATAAGAGAAAAATAAAAAAAGAGTATATCAATACTAGAATTATGCTTGCGACTACATTAAATTAGTAGTATAGATTTAAGCTTTTTTCAATGAAAGAAAGAAATGAGAACAATATATAAACAGAGACAAGCTTGACAACAAAGACTTCTCTCTAACGATAAGGTAATTGATCGCATACGGCCAGTTAAAACATGTTTCTAATGTTTAAAGAGGAGGTTATCTTTTAGGTAATTATGTATGTCTATGGATAACGCAAATCACATATTGGATCAAGTCAAAAATAAAATATATCATTCACCTTTTCGTTCTGCACACATGTACATCTGAATCAGTTTAGTTTGATTAGTAAAGATATCAAGGATCAAAGTTGAATTACAACACAAAGGTTCTACCTCGTCTGTGATATATTTTTATTGTAAAATGAGTAGATAATATAACAGCAACTATTTGTTACATGAAATAGTAAACATTATTTACAATTTTACGTTAATTTATAGATAAATTTTGCACGTGTTAATATGTCAAGGTATGTTTATATGAAATTTCTTTCATGTATAATTATATTTGCAGCAATCCTGAAGAAGAATTCTTAAAACTCACTCAACAGAACGGAAAAATCGATGCCGACACTGTTACACAACTCTATGATCAGTTAAGACCAATTGAACCTAGTTTCTTATGTAAAGATGGTGGTGAATGGGATGGTGGATGTCTTGATACCGGTCATTCAGGTATTGAAATGTTAAAGAAAATGAATTGGGCAGGCGAAACATTCAAGTCAGAAAACGATGTAGACGCAGTAATGATATATGATCAAGTTGGCAAACGTGTTTGGCTCAAAGAATATGGTAATGCACAGGTGAACTATTTTTACATCTAATTCAAATAACTTTTTTGTTTCATTATTTTATGAATTCTTTGCTTAGTTACGTGAAATTAAGTTTCGTGGTAAAATATCAACTGCAATGATATATGATAATTACCCTATTATCGATCATTTTCGTTATGTCAATGATAATATGGTAGTAGGTGCCATGGATAATAAGCTAAAGCCTGCAGAACAACATGGCACACTTTATTTTTTTCTTACCCGTGGTATTAATTCCTTGAAAAAAATCAATGAATGAAGATTTGTGATGGAATTAGAACAGAATATATTTTATTACTTTCTTACTCGAAAATATATAAGAAAAAAAATGAGCCTATCATGTAATAATCTTTAGAATATGATTATGATAGATAAAATTCGTGACAATATTTACATTTATTCATTATGTATCGATAATAAAATTTTCTTCAAATATTTAATATAAAGATTATTAGACTTTTTATATATTCTATCATTCTATTTTTTGGTAAGCCTCATTATTCGAAAACAATTCATATATATTTTCTTTTATTCAATAAAAACTTACTCATTTTTGTTACAAAATATATAAATTTATCACGTAAAATCATATATATGAGCTCGAGAATATTAAATTTTTTTCTTGCTGAATAATATACCTTTCTGACGATAGTTTTTATAATATGAGCAGAAAGTATAATATAGGTAGAAGCATATATCTTGATTCTTTTTTCAATCAAATAAAATAGTCGTTTATGATATTGTCAAACACACCGCATTCCTTTAGATTATATATGTATCTATGTATATTATTTCTTGATTTTTTCTCTCTCTTTACCATCTTCTATAAAAACGAAAGAAAGATAAAGTGAAAGAGTAATAAAAATGTAAAAGCCTTCTGTTAGGTATATAACTCGTTATAAAAGATCCGTTAACAATTCAATAGAACAAAATACATTGTATAGAGTGCAATGTCATTGAATAAAAATAAAGAAGGAACATTTTTTCAACAACTATGTGCATGCGATTGTAATATTAATCCATGTACTAATCGACCATATACTAAACGGCAGAAGATATTAATTGCAGCAGTTGTTATACTTATTATCATAGTAATTCTCGCCGCTGTTCTCATTCCTGTTTTTATTCTAACTCGTAAGAAAACGACCGATTCACCCGTTTCCACCACAGTTTTTACTACGACCAATTCACCCATTTCAACCACAGTTTTTACTACGGATAAGTAAGTAATTATTCGCATTGTCTTTGTTTAAATAATGATTATATGTAGATTACCTTCGAATGGTACTTCCATCGATTATCGTATCATGCCATATGTGGGTAATGGTCATATTGCTACAGTTGTCTTTAGTGATTTTATCTATATGAATGGACTCTATAACGGAGAAAATGGTTTATTAATAATAATATTTTATTAAGAGTTATACTTTTGTATATTTGAAATAGGTACAAGTCATCGAGCTCGTATTCCAAGTACACACAATTGGCAATTCAATACAAAACGAGTATCAGCATCCTATTCACTTGATGTTGAAACATGTGAGAATTTTGATATAGAATGAAGAATATCTAAAATATTGATGTATTCATAGGTACATTTACTGAACGATTTGAGGATGATATAGTTCGAATTGAACGTCGTATTTTTGCCTCACAGGAGTACACGGAATTACTTCTCACTCATGTAACAATCACACGAGCAACATCCAAAAGTTTGATCTTTGAAATAATATAATCATTCTTCTTATCTTACTCTATTATTATAGAACAAACAATTGTTGTACCTGTCGAAGTAACTGAAACATTGACTAGTGCTGATTTCAACTTTGATGTTGTGTTTCGCGATGATAAGCATGTGTAAGTATTGTGTATTAATTCAACATGAATTTATTTTATTTTATTTAAAGACTTTTATCCGGAAAGACACGTGAAGTAGAAAATAGTCAATATCAACAAGATGTATTACCCTTATTTATATACTACACACCGTTACCCTTCAATGGTCTTCAACTTGATGCAGAAGAATCTGCTCGAACCTATCTCTTCGTTACTTCGCTCGATACAGATCAAGCTAGAGCCAAACGAAGTTTTGATTATGGTAAATTAAGATTAAAAATCTATTGTCTAATTAAACGTGAAAGTAGTCAAAATTTTATTCTTGACAACTCGATTTCTAATTCTAAAAGTGTATAGTTAAGTAGGCTATCTTAATGATTATATTTTGTTATAGAGCGTCTTCGTAAGATTTAACAAAAGAATTTTTATTTTTCTCATCAATAGCATCAACTGAACGACAACCTGATCAATTATGGTCAGCTCATGCGGATCTTTGGAAGAAAGTTTGGTCTGATGGACGTATTGAAGTTCGCGACGATGTTGAACTACAACGACAAATTAATTCTGCTTATTATTATCTTCTTAGTTCACTACCACCACTATCAACAAAAAGTGAACCCAAACAATTCTATGGTCTTAGTCCAGGTACTCTATCTCGTGGTGGTCTTTTAGGTGAAGATTATGGTGGTCATTCGTTTTGGGATACAGAAACTTGGATGTATCCATCTGTTCTTCTCTTTTATCCCACGTAAGTTGAGTATTAGTTATTGAACAAATTTATTTGAAAATTTCGATAGAAAAAAAACGATACATTTTTACAATAGTAATAATTTTTTTTATCTTTAGACTGGCCAAAGAGATACTTTCATATCGCATTGGTTTGCGTGAAGCAGCCGCTGACAATGCTCCTCTCTTTGGATATGAAGGATGGAGGTAAAAAAGTCATAATCCTTAATTTTTCTTTCTCATATCTAATTTTAGATTTCCTTGGGAAAGTGCTCGTACAGGTGTTGATGTAACTCCAGATTGTTGTCCAGAAGTTCGTCTTTATCAAATGCACATCACCGGTGATATTGCTTTTGCTGCAAGACAATACGTTGCTGCAACAGGCGATCAAAATTGGTTAAAATCAGAAAGGGGCGGTGATCTCATCTATGAAACAGCACGATTTTGGGCATCAAGAGTAACATACAACCCTAATAGAGATCAATACGACATCTTAAGTAAATTATTTTATATTTGATCACTGATATAATATATAAAAATTTTTTTTCTTCAGCGGTATTACCACCTGATGAAGATGCACAACCATTTAAAGATAATTCAGTATTTACTAATGCCGTTGCTTCTTTCTCTATTCAACTTGCAGATTTAGTCAGCTGTATAACTGATAAACCAGTACCACAAAAATGGCTTAATATAAGCAATAATCTCCACTTTCCTTTCGATAACAGTGCTCAAATTCATTTAGAATATGAAGGTTTCAATCCCAGTAAGGAAACAAATATTTTCTTTCTTAGGATATCATAATTACTTTATTATTGTCACATTGTTTATTTAGAGAATAGTACGATAAAACAAGCAGATGTTATCCTTCTTGGCTTTCCTTTAATGTGGCCAATGACTAAAGAAGTACGAAAAAATGATTTATTAACCTACGAAGCAATTACTCGTGATGATGGGCCAGCAATGACTTGGTCGATGCATGCAATTGGCTTTCTTGAGCTAGAAGATTTTGAATCTGCAGAAAAACTTTTTCGACAATCTTACGAAACTTACGTTCGACAACCATTCAATGTGAGTTACATATGTTTCTCTTTTTCTCATCTTAATTCTCAATTTTAGGTATGGACTGAAGCTCGAGCGGGTGTTGTTGGTGCTGTCAATTTCATTACAGGTGCTGGTGGTTTCTTACAAGCAGTTCTCTATGGATATGGTGGTATTCGTCTAACTATGAAAGAACTCGAAATAATGCCACCAGCTCGTTTACCTAATCAATCGACAGGTCTTGTCTTTCATGGTCTTAAGTATTATGGTGCTACACTTGATTTAACAATAGAGAATTCAATGTATCATCTAAATGTACGTGAATTAAATGTCGATAGTTCTAGACCATTGATATATCAGAATGAACAAAAACGTGATACTCTTAAAGTTGGCGATTATCTTTCCTTTCCAATAAACACACGTCTAATCATTCAACCAGAAACACCGTTATGTCCTTAATTCTTTATTATTTTTTATTCAAAAATAAAACATTGATTTAATAATAGATTTATTGATGATATTTAGTCATTTTTTTTTAGTTAATTCATATTACAAAAAGAAAATACATGTTAAAAAAAGGTGCTGATCAAAAGTTTTTTAGCTCGATATAATGATAATATAGAAAAAAAGGCTTGAGTATAATAAAAGAGAATATATATATATATATTATTTTCAAAAGTCTACGATTATTTTTTAAAAGTGTTGTAGTGTCCAGTTCAATGCTTTTTCATACCAGTCTTGTGAGTTTAAATGTAAATTAATATCGTGACCAGAGTTTGGTAGAACGAAGGTGTCTATTGCGGATAGATAGCTAGAGCTTTCTCTTAGTGCAATATTTGATGAAGTATCACATGAAAGAACTAATGGGGCACAAAAAACTATATCATATTGTCCCATAACAGCTAAGACAGGAATATTAGATGGTATCGATAATGTTACAGTTGGTAGAATAGCCAGTCCAAATGTTAAAACTTCGCCTATTGTTCCAGTATGTTTTGTTTGTTCATCTGTTTGAATTACATTTGGATCAGCATTACTTATATTATAAAATAAATTTTGTCGAGTGTTATTCGCTGGATTTGTTGTAACATATAAGAGTGGTACCGATTGTTGACTAGTTACTGGATCTAATTGTGCAGGATAGACCGAGGCAATAACAGCAGCTGTTCCCACCGGGTTTGGTACATGTAACCAACCTGTTGCAATTATACCACGAATATATTGATTATAAGAAGGCGTAGAAGCAATTGTCCATGTAATCAATGTTCCTAATGAATGACCAACAAGGATAATATTTGTAAATTGAATATCTTTATATGCACCATTATGTATATATGTTGTTAGTTGAGAAATAACGTTAGCATTTGAATCGACTGTAACGTCTATTGCATCCGGTTTTGAACTTAAACCAATTCCAATTCGATCGATGTTTAAGACAACAATACTACCATTGCTATTTTTGATGACATAATCAACATAAGAGTATTCTGGTGATTGATAAGGAAATGCCCAATATGTATGATCGTATGTATATCCATGGATTGTCAAATGTACTATCGTATTTGTATTGAGTTGAGTGCCTTCCTTCCAGCAAAACCATGTAGCGAGTGATTCTGTAGTAGTTATACTAGGTAACAACAAGTTTGGTACTTGTACAGTTACGTTCTTTTGTTCACATTGTACATCTGAATCAACGGACGTACATAAATGGAAGATTGAAAATAGATATATCCAAATAAGCAACATTATGTATTTATCTTACCTGTAAACAGATTATAACCATCTATATATAAACATATACATCGAACTGCAAGTGTATTTCATGGCTCATCAATCTTCATTGAAAAATATGCAAATATATCATAATGAGTAATAAACGAACTTTTTAGCCCATCAAAATCAACAAAATATTCGTCAATTAATGTGTTCTATGATCGTTGTTAATATTAAATCCAGATAATCGAGAGAAAGAAAAATAAAGTGTCAAGTTTGATTAATTTTCTTTTTCTATCATCTAGTGTATGATAGAAAAAGATAAAGGTAAATACAGCATTGCTATAACACGTCATTTATTTTCATAGATACAATTTTTTTTCTTTTCTCGTTCGCTATACTTACAGTAAGTATAAACTCATTAATCAATATACATATTCGAAAAGCTTAATAAGCTAAAATATCAAACACAGATTTGAAAATAAGAAGAAAAAAACATTTTCTTTTAATCTTTATTCTATTTTTAACAATCCAAGAAAAGTCTATCTATTTCTTATTTAAAAACAAAAAATAAATACAAATCATATTTACTTTTATTATTAATAACTGCAATATTTTGTCAATGATAGATTTTTAAAATGAATGAACTTTCGAGTATAATTATCGATATTCTTATGCATCAAACTAATGTTATTGCAATGCGTACCAAAATTAAGTTAATTGAGGAGATCAAAAAATGGTTTTTATAGAATTTAATTTCGTTTTAATTAGAATTAAATCCAATTTATACTATTCTTATATATTCAAAAAAATTTCATCTTGAATATGGTTAGTAAAAGTAAAAAGATCATTATCATTTTCAATAATTGAATTAATACTTCATTGTAGAAGAGGATGTGTACCCATGTAAAAAACTATTGACATAAAAATCAACTGAAAAATCATTATAATCGGTTAAAATATGATTAAAAATCGATTTAAATCATACATCTTTAATCGATTTTTGACATTTTTAACCGGTTCTAATCGGATATAACCGAGAAAAACTTCAATTAAAATCGATTAAGAATTCACAAAAAAATTGATTATAATTGATTTTTGTCAATGACAAATGAAAAAATATAGTTCGGTTTAAATCGATTACAATCAATTTTTTCTGTGAATTCTTAATCGATTTTAATTGTAGTTTGTCGTAATAATCCAAAAAAGGTGAGTTTTTTGTCATAATAATCAAGAAAAGTTGAGTTTTTCTCGGTTATATCCGATTAGAATCGGTTAAAGATGTCAAAAATCGATTAAAGATGTATGATTTAAATCGATTTTTAATCATATTTTAACCGATTATAATCTGATTTTTCTTTAAATATTTTTACATGGGTATAGACAACAATACTTCATCTTGGATAGAATTTGTTCAATATAGACTATTGAATACCATGATTAGATGTATGATACAAAAAAAGAGTCCTATATATATACGACTTTATTACTGTTTGATTGTATCATTTTTTATTTTTCCGTTATTATTTCTAGCATATACTTCACAATAGTAAAGGAAAGATTCATTCATATGTTTATCTTCAAAGATCATACTTGATTTTATATAGAAAATTGATTTAATAGGTTCGATACTATGTTAGCCGGATTATTAGCATGATTATATTCTACGCACATGACTTACGTTAGCTGTGTGTTCAGACTATTTTTTATTAAAATCATCGAAATGAAAATCTACTATTTATTAATGAGATAGGAAATATTCAAGCGTCGAACGTTCATGAACAATAAGATGAATTCATAAGCATTGATGCATTTAATACAAATGATAAAGAAAGACTGGAGTTATATAGAATAATAGTTGACGATAATTTCAATCCTACATTCACTACTTTTGATTGATTGATTTTATTAACAATTCAAAAATTAAGAATATTTCCCTTCAAAGATATTTTATTAAATAATATTATACACATCGTTATTCGATACAACTATTATTTATTCTTAGTGAATTTCTATCGAACATTATCAAACACATATTACATGGAAAGAAAAATATAAATAAAATCTTCCATACAATAATCGTTTGTTATTTTTGTATAAAATTTCTGATTTTTTTTTCTATTTAAGAAATCTTACTTTTTTTAAATAACTAAATTTTTATCGTTTCTTCTTTTTTCGATATTTTATAGAGATCATAAATACACGTGGATGAAATTATTTACGACTTTTTCTCTAAGTATAACCGTATTCTTTCAAATCTCTTCGATAATATCTGAATTGTTATATTTAATCGTAAAATATTTTCATATACTAAAATGATGGTATGTATTTTTCAACATTTGACTATTTTACCTTTCTAATTCATTCATTTTTATTGTATAAAACATTATTGCTATTCTCTCAATATCAGAATGACCAAATGAAAAAAGTTAAAAATCAGAGGATACTATATTGAGGTAATAATCCATTTGAAAATTATTGTTCATCTATTCGACTTTTTTTTAAATAAATGTATTTGAGATAGAATATGTTTATGAGACTATTCTTATATTAAATTCAGCACTGACTACCTTCATGTTTGTTTGACTATAAGTGATTCATATGATGAAAAATTAATCTCATAGAAGAATTCGACTATTCATTCTATTGATCAGAAGATCTATCCGTCCTGTGCAATATAATAGTGATGTTAGTATTCCTAATAATAATTGATAATAACTATTTACAACGCATTTCTACCATGTTTATGATAGTTATCTTGAGATATTCTTTTGCTAAGAACAAAAATAAGATGAATACATTTACTGAAAACAATATTTATTGATTCATGCATGATATATTCAAGAACTTTGATGTTTTTAAATGAACTTCACAAAAATAAATATTATTCTTTATATATATTTAAAAAATTTCTTGGTTACGTTGATAATTAGACCTGTTAGGTCGTGTCATTTATTGATAAAGCATAATTTTTTGGATAAAGCATAGTTTTAAAAAGCAGAAAAAAAAAGAATTATGCATTTTGGGTTTCTGCATGGAGTGAACCAATATTGTCGTGAGTGAAAGCTGGACCATTAACATAGCCAGGTGCAAAGGAATGTCCAAAGCTTGTTAATGAACATTGGTGACCTATTTTAGTAGCGCTGTTATAATTACGAAGCCATGGACCTCCAGATGCACCACCACCCATACCACATTGTATTTGGATACCCTTGAAACTGGATAAAAAGAGAATACTTGCAGCTCTTGTGTTACCAATACAATTGCTCATGTACTCGCCACTACCAATATTCATTGGGAAACCATAACAATTTGTAGCTCCGGCTTTAGCTGCATCGAGTACTATACCAAAAGAACCTGCCTTATCTTGAAGAAGTGTACCTTCGTCATTGGCGTTCACTGTTACTACTGCGACATCGTGATTGTAATCACCTTTGTCTTTCCATAACTGTTTTGTTGCCATTTTACGGGCAACAAATTTGCCATGTGGAGCCGCAGTTTGATGATAATTAGGTACATATACCAAATTTTCAGCCCATATTTTACCTGTGTTATTAAAGACGCAATGACCTGCTGTAATTATTGATGCGCGGTTATTGGCAGTGGTGCATGAACCAGAACAAACATAGTTAAGTTTGTTCATTGAAAAGAAAATTCGACCAGCAGCACTAGGATCATTTTCTGCACGTGCATTAGGAGCTTCAACACCTTCTGTCAAGATTCGTTCAACTCCACGGTTTTCATCA